CTAGTTGGGGTTTAGTCCAAATCTGCATCCTTTCCTTCAAGGCTCAGGGGTCCAAGATTATCTTCTGTGTCTGTGTTAATTGGTTTCCCTTTCCTTTGTTGAAGAGGGTCTGTGCAATCCTTCTGCCTAGTCCGCCATCTTGCCCCGCCTCCCCGTTTTTCTGGTTCTTGCAAGTTTTCCACATTTGGTAGAGTGCAATCTTACCACTTTTCTGTTGTTCATTTTAGTGGAAAGTATTTGCATTTACCTTCTCCAACAGGTGTCTGCCTGGTTTTCACAGGTTTTACTGTATATTATTTATTATCTTGGGAGGAGGCATTGTTTAATCCCATGATATAGTTAAATTACTTTACTTACAATTACTATTTCAGTTACAAAATAGGTATTTCTGGCACAGTAGTTCCTGAAGTATAATCTGTGGACCCCTGATGGTCCATGAGGTTGAAACTGTTATCATAATAATGCTATATTCTCACCAATGGCCCCAAAATGATGATGAGTAAAACCATTGGTATGGATTCAAACCATAACCATAGTTTGAATCAAGGCAATGGCACCAAAATGCTCTCTAGCAATCATTGCACTCTTCACTGCCAGTTTTCACCTAAGAATGTTCTTGATGAAACAGTAAAAATCATGAATTTTGTTAAATTCCAACCTTTGAGTACATATCTTTTTAATATTCTGGGTGAGGAAATAGAAGGTGTGTGTAAAGCTCTTGCTACAAAAATCCAAGTGTGATAGTTTCCTTAGGGAAAAACACTTCACAGAATTATTTGAGGTGCGAACTGAATTGACCACTTTTATTTTTTGGAACATTGTGAACTGACAAACTATGATTATTTAGATTTGGATATTTGGCAGACATTTTCTAAAAAGTGAATGAAGTGAACTTGTCACTTTAAGGAAAACAACTGACAGTATTTGTTGCTAATGATAAAATTTGAGCTTTCGAGTGAAAATGAGAATTTTGGAAAGCTTGTATCTACCATTATGAGCTTGATAACTTCTCACTATTTCCAAGTTTCTTGTGATGAGAGTGACAGTGATATTAATGAAGGTGACTTTTTTTTTTTTTTTTTTTTTTTTAGTATTGTAAGATCAGTAAACCAGTATTTTCTAAATGGCCAGTGCACAGTGTTAGAAAATCACATGGGTGAAGAGCCCATCAGAGTGCAGATAGACCAGTGAATTTTAATGTCATATGTAAAAAGTGCATTGATATGTTTTCAGATTCCACTTTGCAACTAACTTTTAAGAAAATATACCTTGTTGAATTTTGTGTAGAGTTAGAGAAGAATATTCACAATTATCTGCAATGGCTATGAAAATTCTCCTTTTTCAACTACATATCTGTATGAGACTGAATATTTTTTTATATACGTCAATGAAAACAATGTGCTATAAAATATTGAAAGTAGAAGCAGATTTGAGAATGCAGCTGTCTTCTATTTAGTCAGATTAAACAGCTTTATAAAATACATTCAGATGTCTTTCTTCTCACTAATTTATTGAGTTCTTTTGGAAAATATAGTTATTTTCCTAAATTTATGTTAATGTGCAATAAATTCTTTATTGCTAATGAATAAACAGATATTTTCAAAAATTTTAAAAATTATTTAGTACAGTAAATATCAATAGATATCCACATAAACACAAGTTTGGGGTCCTCAGTAATTGTAAGAGTATAAAGAGGTCTTGAGACCAAACAACCTGAGGACCTCTGTAGCACTGGCCACTGGTACACGAATGCTTATCTAAAGGTTGTTTCTACCCTGTTGTCCTTGGATCAGGATTACTAGGAGCAACCAAGATGCTTAGACAGATAAAAGATTTACCATCCCTTCTGGTTAGGAAATGAATTGTGAGAATTCCAGCAGAGGGAAGGTGAAATGCAGCCAGAGGAGACATTCTTACACAATTGACCCTTGAGCAGTGCGACTGGTAGGAGTACCTACTCTGCTCCCCCTGCAGTCAAAAGTACACTGTTTAACTTTTGACTCCCAGAAACAATGCTAATAGTTTACTGTTGACTGGAAGCCTTACCAATAAACAGTCAATTAATGCAGTTCTTGCCATGCAGTTATTATATTTTCACATGAAGACACTACTAGCACACATAGCCAACAGATAAATTGTTAACTGTATAGCATGATGATTATTTACTTTGTGGATCATCACAAAGGTCTCTTCACATCGTCTTCACGTTGACTAGGCTGAAGAGGAGGTGGAAGAGGAGGGGTTGGTCGTGCTGTCTCTGTTGGCAGAGACTGAAGAGGTGAAGGAGAGGTGGAAGGGGAGGCAAGAGGGGCAGGCACACTCAGTGTAGCTATGAAATACATTGTAATTTCTGTCTGACTCTTGTGCTTTTTCATTTCTCTGAAAGTATTCCTATGTGGTACCAATCCTACCGTTTGCTTTAGTTTCAGTGCCCATATCATAGAAGGGTCCATGTCATAAAAGAAGTCAAAAGCAATCTTGAATAATTGGAGCCTTTCTGCCACATTGTCTGTTGTCAATTTGTTTCTGGCACCGACTGCTTCTTCTTCATCATCTGGTACTGGTTGGGAAGTACTCATCTCCATCAACTCATCTTCTGTTAATTCCTCTGATGTGGTGTCTGTTAGCTCTTAAATTTTCAAAGATCCATATATTGAAAAAAAATCTGTGTATAAATGGACCCATATAGTTTAAACTCCTGTTCAGGGGTCAGCTGTAGTAGCTTTGAGGCCTACAAAATTGTTTTGCTGGGCAAGCCACAGTAAGAGTAAGGAATGGCAGGGAGTTGATAAAAATAAGCATTGATTCAACTCAGACTTTTTAGTTCATTTATTACTTTGAGGAGCACAACACGCTGTGGACCACCTATCTGTTTGCTTCTGGGTACAGTCACAAAAAAAAGAAAAACAAAAACAAAAAAAAACCCTCTTAGCTGAAATTGCGTGAGATACTAGCAAAGGGGTCTTTTTGTTGATAAAATATTCCTTAATTGTGAACATCATTTGGATGCTTACTTATGTATAGTCATTGTTCAATCTCAGATACAAATTAAAATTTTCATGTTTGTTATACAATTTTATTTTCTCTTCTGTAAATTGTTTATATCTTTTTGTATTGAGACTTTATTGTTCTTGTCAATTCATATGTGCTTTTAATGAATTGAAAACTTCTGTGTATATTAAAGATTACTAACCTTCTGTCACATCAACTGAAGAATGTTTAGTTTGTTGTTTTCTCTGGAAGTTTGTGGGCTTTAAAAAAAAAGAATCTTGCTTTCCTCACCTCTACCACCTCATCACATTAAAAAATTTTCCATGTTTTTAATTCTTTGTGAACATTTTTGATAACTCTAATCATATTTTATTATGAGGAGACCAAAAAAAATCAAACTTAACTGCTGTGGGATTGATTCTGACTCATAGCAACCCCTCCTTGGGTTTTCAAGGCAGTAGCTCTACGGAAGTAGATTGCCCAGTCTTCCTTCCAAGGAGTGGCTGGTGGATTTGAACCACCAGCCTTCTGGTTAGTGTCAAAAGCCTTAGGCGCTACATCACCAGAGCACCTATATTGTGGAGAGAGGACTGTAATTTAACTATTCTTCTATTGTGGTTGTTTAGATTTTTTTTTTTCCTACATTTTTACTATTTAAATAATGCTTCACTACACATATGCATGCATGGATTTTTTTTTTTTTTTTTTTTTTCTCTCTCTCTCTATTAGGGAGCTCTGGTGGCATAGTACCTAAGGCATTTGACTGCTAACCAAAAGGCTGGTGGTTCAAACCCACCAGCCACTCCTCAGAAGGAAGATGGGCAATCTACTTCTGTAGAAATACCATCTTGGAAACCCAAGGAGGGGTTGCTATGAGTTGGGATCAACTCGACAGCAGTGAGTTTGGTTTTTTTTTTTATTATTTAGAATAGCTTCCCAAAAGAAGGACAGGAGCATTTTTAATGCATGTTTATTCTACACACAAACAAGATTTAGTCCAGTTATAATTAGACAGTATCAGTTATAGACTTTGATGTTTGTAAAAGCAGCCATTTGATCACTTGGAGGACTGTAATATATAGTCCCAGAGGCCTCGCAAAAGTACTTAGCAAAACCAGTGATTTTGTATGCAGTAAAGATGCCTTCCCATAAGTTCTGTCAAGGTGGCAAACTTCTGTAAAGGACCAGATATTTTAGGCTTTGCAAGCCATGTGATACCTGTCACCACTCTGCTATTTTAGTACAAAAAGAGCCAAATAAAATATGTAAATGAATGGATGTGGCAGTGATCCAATAAGACTTTATTTAGACACAAATTTGAACTTCATATAATGTTCACTTGTCACAAAATATTATGTTGATTTTCTTTTTTTTTCCAATCACTTAAAAATGTCCTTGTTGTTGTTGTTGTTATGTGCTGTTGAGTCGGCCCCGACTCATAGCGACCCCTCCTTGGGTTTCCGAGGCAGTATCACTATGGAAGTAGGATTGCCCAACCTTTCCTTAATCCATGAGCTGTAGAAAAATAGACAATGGCTGAATTTAGTCCATGGGCCATAGTTTGCCAATTCTCAGATGACTTGCTAATAAACATTTATTATATTGGGGCATCTGGATCTGCAGTATGATAGCTTTCTCACAAAAACCCTTCATTTTAGCATGTGTCAAATAATAAACTTTAATATTTTGTGTTTCAGCTGGAGTCAACCGGATTTCATATTGGCCTGCTGATCCAGAAATAAGTTTGCTTACTGAGGCTTCTAGTTCTGAAGATGCAAAGTTAGATGCCAAAGCTGTGGAAAGATTGAAATCCAACAGTCGGGCTCATGTGTGTGTCTTACTTCAGCCTTTGGTATATTACATGGTGCAGTTTGTAGAGGAGACCTCTTACAAATGTGACTTTGTTCAAAAAATAACGAAAACACTGCCGGATGCTAACATTGACTTTTATTCAGAGTGTAAACAAGAAAGAATAAAAGAATATGAAATGTTATTTTTGGTTTCAAATGAAGAAATGCATAAGCAAATACTGATGACTATAGGTTTGGAAAACCTGTGTGAAAATCCATACTTTAGCAATCTAAGGCAAAACATGAAAGACCTTGTTGTACTTTTGGCCACAGTAGCTTCCAGTGTGCCCAACTTTAAACACTTTGGATTTTATTGTAGCAATCCAGGACAGATTAACGAAACTCACAATCAAAGTTTGCCACAAGACATTGCAAGGCACTGCATGGTTCAGGCCAGGTTACTGGCATATCGAACTGGTGAGTTAATATGCTTAGTTCATAAATTGGGGCTGATTGTGTTGTATTTGTCTTATCTATGGTAGAATTCATTTAGATACTCAAGTTTTGCTGTTCATATGATAGAAGTTAGTGAGACCCTTGAGTAGACAGTTCCTTCTTAGAGTAGTTTTAGGATTCCCTGTGGCCTTATATTCAGTAGTACGTTTCTAAGTCAGGGCCTGATTATCTAGGCCCTTCTCCTTTCTGCTGCTTGTTTTTATCATTTCACTGCATATTTAGCCTTCTTATAGAAATGGATCATAGGAGGAAGGAGAGAGGACCAAATCACTGACACCTGTTAACTCTTACATATTTCATAGAAACTTTAAAAATCTTTACAATAAAATATATGAATTCAAAATAAATATAATGTAGAGTCAAAAAGAATGTTCATTATTGAAGATTAGCTCAATTGCTGGTATGTCTTCAATCAGCAAGTTGAGAAATCACTTTACTTACTAAGTTGTGTAAGTATGTATGTGAAAAGAAAATGCTACTTGGAATTTTCTTTATTGTGATAGAGCGTGGCATGTTTTCCAATTATGGAACAATATGTTTATATGTGGTAATATCTTTTTGAAGTGGAGTCATGATTAACTTTATAAAATGTAACTTTGAAATGAAAAGAAAAAAAAAGCAGATTAGACAGATGGCTTGGAGAGCGGGCTTATAGTAGGAATTTTGAAAGATCTCAAGAAAGAAGGAGAACAGAAAGAAAATCTTTAGAAAAGTCCATGCAGATGCCTCTGGTCTGCAGTATATTCTAAACAAAGGCCATAGGCTGAGGTAAATTAAGTAGAATGGAGTTTCTCAACTGGTAGCATATCAGAACCACCAAGGCTTTGATCTAGGCTTGTGTTTTTTTAAAAAATTTTGCAAGTTATTCTGATAGTCAGCAAGGTTAATAATCAGTTTAATTCTTAATAAAGAATTTGATCCTACTATAGAAATAAACTATGCCCCCAAACAACTGTATTGTGTAAAAGTCTGACTTAATGTAATTATCTGTTATTATGAGCTGTATATTGGTTTCTTTGACAACACCAATATTATAAAGTATTTTTCTCTAACCCATTCTGGAAGGATGGAAATAGAAATGGGAACAGCTGTTGTAGCTATAATTCACTAATTCCTCTTCTAATTAGAATTCAGTGAGCCCTGCCTATGTTCCTAAGGGAGGGGGAGATGGGAATCTGCTGTTCTTTTACATAAGCTCACTACCTTTTGCTTCTCAGAGGTGAACACTTCATCGTACTCTATGTGATGCAAGTGTTTAAAGTTGCAGTGATGTATAAATATAAGTTTGTATATGTATTTTTTATTAGTCTGTTACTATATAGTTTTTATATTATAAATTTATCCACTGACTATGCTGTTGAGTTTTGTACATAAAGTCATGCTTAGGTACTTGATGGCATTTTAAAAGATTATTCAATATTAATTTGAATCTGATTTTTTGCCTGTAACCCAAACCCCAAGTGGGATGTAACTCTATAGTCATGCACTCCATTGCCCTATAAGCTCTTCCAAGGAAGAGACCATGTCCTAATCATTTTTTAGCATTAAGCTATGTGTGAATGGATAAAAGAAATCTTTCTATATCCAAAGATAATACTTTACAGTCCCTTATCCAAAACTCTTGGGGCCAGTTGAAAAGGAGTTTAGAATTTTTCAGATTTTAACATATTATATATGTTACCAGACATTCCAAGTGGAGCCCAGGGAAGTACCCTTTAAGTGAACAATGTATATGGAGTAAAATGTATGAATAACTAAGGGCTATAAATAATTCATGTCAGATTTTGCAACCAAATAGAGTTGTACCAGATGGTCAAAAAACTTCATGTAATGTATTTCACATAGGGGATTCTGGGCCTGTATTCTTCACTGATGATAAATAGTAACAATTACTGATTGAGCACCTACTATGTATCAGACACTGAGCTAGGCAATTTATGTGTGTATCTCATTTAATAAGAAGGACAATAAGGCAGTTAGATATCCCTGTAATATAGTGTGCTTCTAATGAATGATCCTTTTCACTTCACGTTATTAATTTGCTTTGTCAACTTTATTTATTCTTGGTGGAGAGGTGAAGAAACCATATCATTAAAAAATGTACATATGATTGAAATGAATCCAGAAGTTTATAACAGCAGAGTTCTAAAACTAATTGAAAGTAGGTGCTTAATGATTGCTTTTTGGATGATGAATAAACAGATCCACAGAGGTGTCATTAGAAGTATGTTTCTAGAATGCTTTGGGGTTGCAAAAAAATGTGACAATTTGTTTAGACACTTGGGGGGAAAAAAGTAGGAGAGCATCACCTCTTCTCTATCTGGTTTAAGTATTAATTTTTTATCTCTTTTTGTGTCCTATTTTCCCATTAGAGTATGTGTTTTCCAAAGCTAAGGATAATGTCTTCCTGCTGGACCACAGTGTTGACAAAAGTAGGTTGGAGTAGCCAAGAAAGTTAACAGTTTCAGATCATAATTCAGTATATCTCAAATTTTCGTATGCCTAAACATCACATGGGGGGCTTGTTAGAAATGAGGTTTCCTAAACCTACTCCCCCATCTCTCAGGGGATCCTCTGTGCAAGCCAGCAGTCTGCTATTTTAACAAATAACCAAGTGTTTCTGCTGCAAGTGTCCTGGGAACCATGCTTGGAGAAACAGTGGCATAGTCACAGCATTGGGAGCTAAAATAACCTGTGTTCTGAAATCACAGGATAAATATTTCTCCCCTGATTCAGTCATCAAAAAGCCATAAGAATTTGGTTCAGTGATTGGAAGGTGACCATTTCTTCAAAGGTGTACAGATAAAAGCTAGTGAATTACCAGACACAGGGAACAATTTCTGTAAAAATCACAGACATGAAAAGAGTTTTGAAAAGTTGCTTCATCTGTTACCCAGCCTTGGGTCTGGTGAAATCTTACATGAGTGAAAATTTATTCTGTTTCTAAAGGATAGTAAAGTCTATTCTCTTAGTGTAACTAACATTTACTAGTCAGTAGAGCTGCATGCTTATGGAAAACCACATTTTTTTTTCTCTTGACATTTTTTTCAGTCTTCCCTAAGACTGAAACAAAGAAAGGGTCCTGAGATTAAAAACAACATACGAAAAATACCAGTATTGATGGTAGAAACAGTAGACTCTTAATATGAAGAATATCTGAGTTTTTCATTTCATATTTATTCAACTACAACTTACTGTAAAGGTTTTGACTTTACAGGGAAATAGAATCTTATTTATAACTTCTGCACTTGCCTTAGAAATTAGCCTTAAATCATTGATTTATGTTCTCCCCTCATGTTAAGCTCTGAAGGTCTAGGAAGGAACAAAACTTTGTACCAAAATGCCTTTCATGACAGTCTCCCCTCTATAGAAATAGGTTGCCCCGTGTAGTCTGTGTATCAGTCTCATGTTCATTTCCTTCTTTGCACAGCACTTAATGTAAGTACTTGTTTCCTTGTTCCTGTCTTCTTCCTCTATTAGATTGTAAATTTCAAGAGGACAGGACTTTTTCTTTTTTCCCTTATCACTGTATACTCAGCCTATCCCAGCACTTAGCACCTGTTAGGTATTCAATAAATATTTGTTGAATAAATGAAAATCTTGGTTATGCAGTTCTTCATGTCAAAGTGAGAGGTGAAGGAAAGGCTGACAGGTTGGGTCTGGAGGAGTAAATTTTATTCACTTAATTTCTCTGTGCTTGCTTTCTCATCTAGAAATGGAACTTTTTTTCTGCTTTCCTTAAAGGTAAAAAAAGAATGCATAATGAGTGCTTAAGATAATTACATAAATGCATTATAATTTTGAAAATGTGAGCTTGCTTGAACTGGAGATAACAAACTTTATTATAGTATTTTTAAAAATTATTTAGAAAGCACTCCAGTTTTAAATGCATAGTGGCACAAACTTTTTTGAACTTTTACTGGAAAAGTAGGCATTTAAATAGGCTATCATTGGATTACTTTTAGGATATTGTACTGTAAAGGCAGTGTTAATTTCATTCTCACCAACATGAAAATTCCCTATGGTAGGGCCACAGATAATTATTTTCTCTGCAAATGTACCTACTTAACTACACTGGTACCTAATAATTAAGATTTTTATAATAGTATATATTAATCTTCTTAATTAGTGTATATTAGAAATTTGAAATCCTTGTGTTTATAGAAGGAAAAGTAGTTACTTAATATGTAGAATTTCTATTTTGGGTTTTTATTTTCTTTTTCATATTAACTAACACTTTTCGGAAGCACAGCTTTACTTGTAAAGATTTTGGTTCTACAGGAAAATAGAATCCTATGTTTATAACTTCTGCCAGTGATTTAGAAATGAGCATGATGTCACTAACTTAGCATTCTTTTTTTCCCTGGAAGTAAACTGTGAAGGCCAAGGAAGAAGGAAAATTTAAATTATATTCCTTTTTCAGAAAGAAGGTTGGGCAATAGTGATACTGCCTCAGAAACCCAAAGAGGGGTCTCTATTAGTCGGATCCGACTCAATGGCAGTGAGTTAGAGTTTTATATTCCTTTTAGATACCTTCAAGGAATGTATATTCAAAAGCCCATCAAGATTTATTGATGTTTGCATTATGAATTTGAATTTTTTCCTAGCAATTTCATTTCCATAAAATGTATTTTTCACAACTAGAGTGCACAAAATGCTAGATGACAAATTTGACTGTTGTGAATGGTTATTAAACTAAATCCATTAGTTCACAAACTTCTTTTTAAATTGATTTCACACCTGTTAGGAGCAGTGATTTAGAAACTGACTTATTAGTAGAGAATAAAGTTTTATATTCAGTTCTGCTTGTAGCTTTGAAGGAACCTGACTGTGGGCACTACCATCTTAATGATCTCTAGCTTGGTCAGTAGTGACACTGCTTAATTGTTTGTACCTTGCTCTCATAAAAGCATTTATTTTAACGCTTTCCTATAATTAGTAAAGAGACCAAGAATTAGTACTATATTTATGAAGAATGTTTCAATAAAAATGTTTTAATTGTTTTGGGAAAAATATTTCTGAAGCTAACAGATGTTTATTTTTACTACATTAAATGCCATATATCTTTCAGAGGATCATAAAACAGGAGTTGGAGCAGTCATTTGGGCAGAAGGGAAATCTGTAAGTATAAAAATTATTTTTAAAATATTTGACCTTTTGTTTAAACATAGTTCAACCTTAAGTGAGTTACATTTTATTGACTTATTTGAATTAGTATTTTTTATTGGTGCATTTATTAAACTCTATAAATATTTGTTCATCCTCTCAACAATTTTCTAGATAGATTCCTTCATTTAACAAACATTTATTAAACATCTTCTCAAGGGTAGGTAAGATATTTTGTTGTGATCCATAGGGTTTTCATCAGCTAATTTATGGAAATAGAGTACTAGTCCTTTCTTCCTAATCTGTCTTAGTCTAGAAGCTCAGCTGAAACCTGTCTACCACAGGTGACTCTGCTGGTATTTGAAATACCAGTGATATACATAGCTTCTAGCATTGTAACAACATATGCTACCACTGTATTACAAACTGTCACACAGGTCATTGGACTTAACAAGTAATTTGACTATATTCTTGGCTGTTTCATAGGCTTCTCAACTTCAGCCACACATAGGTTCCTTAAGATAACACACCCAGTATCTTCCCTGCTAGCCTACTCCATCAGTGGTCACCATCTCGTTCCCTGTTACTCCATACATATAATCAATCATGAAGTCCTATGGATTCTACCTTTAGAATACCTTGACTCTACTTATCTCTACCCCAGTTGTTAACTTCTACTACAATAAGTTCCTCTGTCAGAAACTCCCATAGCAATCTGTACTACTCATATTACAAACTATTTTAAACATTGCTGATAAACACTCTATAATTGGCAAATACTTGATAAATTTAAATATACTAATAACTGATACAAGCATTTATGATAAACCAATATGGCATTGACCAAGAGAAATTTTTTAAAAGCCACTAAAGAAGTCCTATGATAGATATGCATACAAAATAGCCTCAATAAATATTGAAGATTAAAGGAAATTGTGTTTTCTATTTTCCAATTAAGTCACAAGGCCGCATTTTTGGCCTATCAACAGAAATTGTCTATTCAAAATATTTTGAAAGCTCCTGACTTGTTAACCATTAGCACACACAACATATATAAATATATGTTTTTTAAAAGCCAATCTATAATTGTGTAGTGAGTGCTTTGTAAATGTTTAACACTCTAATAGATATACTTGAAGGTATGTTGTTGTTGTTATGTGCCGTCGAGTCGGACCTGACTCATAGCGACCCCTCCTTGGGTTTCTGAGGCAGTATCACTACGAAAGTAGATTGCCCCATCTTCCTTCCGAGGAGTGGGGTGGGTTTGAACCGCCAGCTTTCTGGTCAGCAGTCAAGTGCCTTAGGCACTATGCTACCAGAGCTCCCACTGGAAGGTATAGAAAGTATAAAACATAGTTTCTGTTCTCTAGGAACTTACAATCTGTTTGGGAGAGATGTCTGAATCAAGTGAAACAATTTGTGATTTGAACAAGATAATATTTAATTAACTGTTTAAACCAAGCACTGCCTTGATATAGATTAGACAGGTGATCAACTTGCTTGGAAGTTAGCTTTGATAAGACTGCACTATAGTAGGAGAATCTCATATTGTATTTCTCGATGACTCAGTTGGTCACAGAAAATTTGATGACTATTCTCTATACTATAAAGTGTGATGCTAGGCTTTGAAAACACACTGCAAAGTGCCTTTTCAGAGTGTTGAAAACTAAGTTTTGTTTTTCTCACTTTTGTAGAGAAGCTGTGATGGAACAGGAGCATTGTATTTCATAGGATGTGGTTATAATGCTTTTCCTGTTGGATCTGAGTATGCTGACTTTCCCCACATGGATGACAAACAGAAAGACAGAGAAATAAGGAAATTCAGATACATTATACATGCGGAACAGAATGCCTTGACATTTAGGTATGACATTCTTTTGCATGTATTTTTAAAATAATAATTTATTGTGCTTTTGTGAAAGGACACACAACATACATATATATGTTTTTAAAAAGCCAGTCTATAATCAGGTAGCATGTTAGGTTCCACTTTGACAATTTCCACACAAATTAACAAATCAATAATATTAGTTATATTTTTCACATTGTGCCAACATTCTCATTATTTGTATTCTGATTATTCTGTTTCCAGTACTTTAGATTTTCTGCCCATTTAATCTTCTCATCTTTGTTTCAGAATAAATGTCAGCCTATTGTATTAGTAGAGCACAAAACTAATGGATAATATCCTTTATTTTGTGTGTCCCTCTGCTTTTCTATTTAAAGGTGATCTTAGAGGGTAGTTTTGTTCAAGGTTTGAAGAGCACCACAGGCCAGTAGTCTTCTTCTTTTTTTTTTTTTTTAAGAACATACTCTTTATTTATTTGATATCACAAATGTGTGAAGAAGGATGGTTTTGAGCCCTGTTTTATTTTTATTTTTTTATTTTTTTATTGTGATTTAGGTGAAGATTTACAGAGCAAATTCACTTTCCATACAGCAGTTCACATATACTTTGTCTCATGTCATTGACCACAGTTTACCAGGCCAGTAGTCTTAGGGAGTCCTCTGGTCACAGTCATCCAGTTAATCTGGCCATTTTTATGAATTTGAGTTTGTTCTGCATTTTGTTCTCTCATTCTAACCTGGATCATCTGTTGTAGTCCAGGTCAGTCAGTGGTGGTACTGGACACCATCTGGTCTCAGAGTAGTTGAGGCAGTGACTAGTGTAGGCTATCAGCCTTGTAGACTTGTTCTGGTTTCCTTCTTACTCTTTTGCTCCTGATAAGTAAAAACCACTTTTGCATGTAATTTTCTTTAAAATGTAGCAAGGGTTACTTGAAAATTCTTTCTCTTTTAGTTGTAATGAATTTTCTTTTTCAAATTCTAGGAAATACACTTTTTAGAAGTGAGTTGTTGTTGTGTACCATCGAGTCAATTCCAACTGATAGTGATCCTATAAGACAGAGTAGAACAGCCCCATCAGGTTTCTAGGCTGAAATCTTTAAGAAGCAGATCACCAGGTTTTTTGCCCACAGAATACTGGTGGGTTCAAACTGCCAGTTTTTTAGTTACTAGCCTAGAAGTTATCTGTTGCACCACCAGGGCTCCTCTTTCAGAAGTAAAACTCTGGTAAAACTTGGTCCTGATCAGAGGCCATTGCCATAGCTTCTCCAGACCTTCAAATTTATTAAGCAAGTCTTTTTTTCTTCCTTCTCTATCTAATCTTGATAGATAGCTTGAGCTCTCATATTTCTAGATGTTAATATCTTCTTTGTTTTCTAAGTCTGGAGCACATATATTTATGAATATATAGAATTTATTGTGAACAAAATTGCTTTAAAATAATTTTATTACAAGTTATTTCTGGTATTACCTCCTTCTAACATTAATTTATATTATTACTACAAATGTTTTTATCATTTCCTATTAAGGGAGTGATGTTAGGAGATTAACAAGTGAATGAGATAGAGCTCTGTCCTTGGGGAACTTATAATGCCGTAGATGATTTAAGACTGCATCCACCTAATGTGATCGATTTTATGAGAAAAGCAAATTCTAAGTGTTGTGGAAATTCAGGAGCTATGTGTACTAGGAAGAAGAGTGCCTGCAAAAATGTGTGAAATAACTGACATTTGAACTGAGCTTTAAAGGATTGGCAAGATTGTGGCAAATGAAAGTGCTTACATGAGGAAGAAGACAGCTACCTGGCCAACTGACTGGAAGAGTCCATATTTGTACCCATTCTACAGAAAGGTAATCCCACAAAATGTGGAAAGTATCGAACAATATCATTAATATCACATGCAGATAAACTCTTACTGAAGATAATTCAAAAATGGTTGCAGGAGTATATTGACAGAGAACTTCCAGAAATGTGAGCTGGATTCAGAAGGGGACATGGAACGAGGAATATCATTGCTGATATCAGATGGATCTTGGCTGAAATTAAAGAATACCAGAAAGATGTTTACTTGTGTTTTACTGACTATGCAAAAGCATTCGGTTTTGTGGATCATAACAAATTATGGATAACATTGAGAAGAATGGGAATTCCAGAACACTTGATTATCCTCATGAGTAAGCTGTATGTAGACCAGGAAGCTGTTGTTCAAACAGAACAAGGGGATACTGCATGGTTTAAAATCAGGAAGGGAGTGAGTCAGGCTTGTATCCTTTTGCCATACTTATTCAATCTGTATGCTGAGCATATAATCCAAGAAGCTAGACTATATGAAGAAGAATGTGGCATCAGGATTGGAGGAAGGCTTATTAATAACCTGTCATAGGCAGATAACACAACTTTACTTGCTGAAAGTGAAGATGACTTGAAGCACTTACTGATGAAGATTGAAGACTACAGTCTGCAGTATGGATTACACCTCAATATAAAGAAAACAAAAATCCTCACAACTGGACCAATAAGCTTGTTGTTGTTATGTTCCGTTGAGTTGGCCCCAACTCATAGCGACCCCTCCTTGGGGTTCCGAGGCAGTATCACTACGGAAGTAGAGTGGTGCCCAACCTTCCTTCTGAGGAGTGGCTGATGGGTTTGAACCACCAGCCTTCTGGTTAGCAGTCAAGTGCCTTAGGCACTATGCTACCAGAGCAGAATCATGAAAAATAGAAGATTGAAGTTGTCAAAGAGTTCATATTACTTGGTTCTACAATCAACACCAATGGAAGCAGCAGTCAAAACATGAGATGACGTATTGTATTGGGCTAATTTGCTGCAAAGGACCTCTTTCAAGTGCTGAAGAACAAAGATGTCTCCTTGAAGACTAAGGTTTGCCTGACTGGCCCATGGTATTTTCAGTCATCTCATGTGCATGTGAGAGCTGGACAATGAATAAGGAAGACCAAAGAAGAGTCGATGCTTTTGAGTTGTGGTGTTTGCAAAGAATACTGACTATACCATATCCTGCCAGAAGAACAAACATATCTATCTTGAATGAAGAATGCTCCTTAGAAACGAGGATGGTGAGACTTCACCTGTTGTATTTTGGTCATATTGTTAGGAGGGACCAGATCTTGAAGAAGGATATCATGCTTATAAAGTGCATGCTCAGCAAAAAAGCAGAAGGCCCTCAAAGAGATGGATTGACGCCATGGGTGTGCAATGATGAACTCAAGCATGGCAACAATTGTGAGGATGGTAAAGGATGTGGCAGGATCGTGTTCTGTTGTGCATAGGGTGGCTATGTGTTAGAAATGAGTTGATGGCATCTATGAACAATGTCATTTTATTTAAGAGACTAGAACATCGGTGGATATTGGTATCCATGGAGGTCGTGGAACCAATCCTCATGGTTATTGAGAGATGACTTTATAGTTCTCTCAGTGCCATTCCATCTCCCCTAACGGCATGCTAAATACAGTCTAAACTCAAAGCTCTCTATTGTCCAGTCCCAATATCCTTTTGAGCTTCATTTCCCATGATTCTGTTGTTGTTGTTTGGTACCGTCAAGTCATCGCCAATGCATAATTTATTGATTCTTCAGTCTTCCTTATTCATTATCCAGCCTTCACATGCTTATGAGGCAATTGAAAATACTATGTCTTGGGGCAGACATACCTTAGTCTTCAAAGTGACGTGTTTGCTATTTAATATTTCAAAGGAGTCTTTTGCAACAGATTTGCCCAATACAGCATGGCATTTGATTTCTTAACTGCTGTTTCCATGGGCGTTGATTATAGATCCAAGTAAAAATGAAATCCTTGACCACTTTCAGTCTTTTCTGCATTAATCATGTTGTTGCTTATTGGTCCATTTGTGAAGATTTTTGTTTTCTTTATGTTGTGGTGTAGTCCATACTGAAGGCTGTAGTGTTTGATCTTCATCAGTAAGTGCCTCAAGTCCTCTTCACTTTAAGCAAGCAAGGCTGTGGTATCTGGATATCACAGGCTGTTAGTGAGTATTCCTCCAATCCTGATGCTCTCTTCTTCTTCATATAGTCCAGCTTCTCTGATTATTTGCTCACCATACAGATTGAATGAGTATGGTGAAAGATACAACCCTGACACACACCTTTCTGGATTTTAAACCATACAGTATCCTCTTGTTCTATTTGAGCCACTGCCTCTTTATCTATGGACAGGTTTCACATGAGCACAATTAAGTGTTCTGGAGTTCCTGTTCTTCACAATGTTATCTATAATTTGTTGTGATCCAGACAGTTGAATGCTTTTGTCAATAAAACAGAGGTAAACATTTTTCTGGTATTCTTTGCTTTCATCCAAGATCCATCTGTCATCAGCAGTGATATCCCTCATTCCATATCCTTTTCTGAATCTAGCTTGAGTTTCTGGCAATTCTCTGTTGATGTACTGTTGTTGTCATTTTTAAAAATATCTTCAGCCAATTTTTACTTGTATGTGATATTAATGATACTGTGTGATAATATCCTCATTCTGTTGGATCATTTTTCTTAATATGGATCTCTTCCAGTCAGTTGGCCAGGTAGCTGTCTTCTAGATTTCTTGGCATGGATGAGTGAGCACCTCCAGAGGCTGCATCTCTTTCTTGAAGCATTTCACTTGGTATCCATCAATCCCTAGAACCTTGTTCTTCATCAGTGTCTTCACCAGTGCATCTTGGACTTCTTCCTTCAATACCATTCATTCTTGGTCATATGCTACCTCGTAAAATGGTTGAACATTGACCAATTCTTTTTGGTCCACTGACTCTGTATATTCCTTTCATCTTTTGATGCTTTCTGCATTGTGCAACATTTTGTCCATAGAATCTTTTAGTATTGCAAATTGAGGCTTGATTTTTTTCTTACTGGTGATTGAAAGGTGAAAGTTGGAAATGAAGAAGATAGGGTAGTGGGAAAATATGGTCTTGGTGATAGAAATGACAGTGGAGGTCACATGATAGAATTTTGCAAGACCAACAACTTATTCTTTGTGAATACCTCTTTT